TGTTTCATGTATCTCAGTCGAGGAGATACATTCCAGATTCGTCACATGTGATCTAAATGGACGATATACAAGTGAGAGAGAACCTGACCATGAAAGAATCACCCATGCAGATAGAGGATCGAGAAGTGAATGAGTTGTGTGATAAGGAGATTGCCTTAGTGAAGGTAGTGTGGGGAAGACAAACTGGTGGAAGCATAACTTGGGAGTTGGGAGTTGCGTTTCATGTATTATTTTTTTGAGAGGTATAGAGGGGTGATAGAAGTGAGTAGAATAATTTGGAACTGTTTTAGTATTTGAAGATAATGTTTAACTATTTTTATTATATTAAATAGTGAAAATAGGAGTTTTTTTTAATTAAATGAGTAAATAAACTTTTGGAATAATAAAATAAGGGTTAAATATGATTATAGTCCTCATAAATATTTCAATTTCGTTTTTAGTCCCTCAAAATATTTTCTTCAAATAATTGTCCTCCTAAAAATTTTAATCCACGTTTTTGGTCTCTCCTGCAACTTAGCAATGATTTTACAACTTAGCGACAAAATTAAGACTGTTTTAGCGATGATTTTTAACTTAGCGATTGAATTAGTGATAGTTTTAGCGACGATTTTAGTATTAGGGACCAAAAGTGTTGGGGAAAATATTAGGAGGGCCATTCTTTGACGGAAATATTTTAAGCGACTAAAAATGAAATTTGAGATATTTAGGAGGACTACAAACATATTTAACCCATAAAATAATAATAAGAAAGGAATGTGTAGAGATTTTGACGGCGAGATGGTAATTACATGGTTTAGTTGAGGGTAGTATAGGGAAAACCTAATGAGAGAAATTGATTTACTAGAAAAAGAGAGAATTGAGAAAAAGGGCCAGAGTTCATCTTACGTAGAAACTTGGAGAAAAGAGGATGAAGGCTAGGGTAAGAGGCTAAAGGTGATCTAGAGGAAGGGAGTGAAGGTTTCACTTTATATTTTTTTCAAGGAATTCAAGTAAGAATGAGAAATTTTTTCAATAATAAGGGGTATGATGGAAGAGTATAGTGGATGAACTCATAATTTTCCATAAGGTTTGTTATTCTTTTGATTGACGATGATAATATTATTTTATATATAATTATATGAATTATAACTATGTGTATTGATATGTTGTTGTTGTGATATGAATTGTAACAATGTGTATTGATATGTTGTTGTTGTTGTGATGTGCTTGAATCATGTTGAATTTGATGGAAATTGATGATTTAGATATGATAAATATGATGATATTATTGTAACATGTTGTTGATCCATGAATCTATGAAATAACAGATGAAGTGTAGGCTATGATAGCCGTAGGAATTTAGATTAATATGATATATTTTTGTAAAATAAGTGGTTGTTATATAAGGTAGTGCTTGGATGATTAAAAACTGATTTTTAGACAAAAATTAGCAGTATGCGTCGACTTATGAAGGTCATGTATCGATATGTTCGATGCATGCGTCGACTCTTAAAGATAATGAGTTGACACATGCAGTCAGTACATCAAACCAAATGCCTAATGTGAAATGTGTTAAATATTATTTAAAGTGCCTATTGTGTCGATAAATGTGTTGGTTTATGTGTTTGGTTTATGAATCGTTGCATTATTGTAATACCGTTGTGTGATAACGGTGTTGTTATGTCGATGATATTGTTAAGATGATGACGAGTTGCTGTTGTTTGTTGATGTTATTGATGTTGTAACATGAATTAATTGTTGCATGATAAGTATGTGATGCATAAATGGTGAGATGTGTATGAGGATACTTTTAATGAACCTTGTTGTGATAATACATGTGTTTGAGAGTCATGCATCATGGTCTACGAGCTTCGGTCCATTTTTGGTATGCTCTAGTCCTATGATGGAGATTGGGATCGAGTAGCTGATTTCAGATGGGAATTCATGAAGCGTTACTTATGGTGGTGGTAACGATTTGGTGTGCTCCGGTCCTATAGTGAGGATCAGAAGCGAGATGAACCTGAGTGTTCATGAATGGTACCACATGCATATGAGTCATTATTGGTGTTATGAGTTGCATATCATAAATGAATGTATGCATGGAATATGACTATGTGTGATGATAATGTTGTTGCGTATGATGTTGATGATAATTAAGATGTTTTTGTTGTGATGTTAATCATGATTTGGGTGTGAGAATGTGATAAGTATTGTGCATGATTATGTATATGTTATACTCTATTTTACATCATATATCGTTTATTATTGAAATGAATTCTCACCCCTTGTGTTTGAATGTTGTCTTTACATTGGCATCATGTAGACACTCAGGATTAGCATTGTTGATGTAAGTGGAAGCCAACTCATGGAGTTGCTTCTTAGTTTATCATTTAATTAGAAGCGTCTTGCTCTGATTATGTAACATCGGGTTGGAAACGCTTGCTTAGCTTCTTATGTCATGTTTATGTTAAAGTATTACAATTGATGTGGTTGTTGAGATGATTTATACAACTCTTTTTGTTGCATTATGAAAGTTGAAGTTTCTGAGACTAAACGTCTTGAGTTGCAGTTGTTATGTTTTAATTGATTTGATAATAATTCCATTGGGATGGTACTTTAAAATGGAAGTGAGTATGTGATGACAAATTTAAAATGTTTGTTGTAACCTGTGTTACGAAGCAGGATGTATTTGTGATGTGCGTGCCACCCTCGTGGTTGTGATTTTAATGAAGTATCCTATAATTGTATATGGGGTTTATAATGTTGTTACATTAAATATTTTAATTATCTGAACCATTTGTACAATCATCTTAACGCCACCGAAGATGTCAAAAAAGTCAGGGTCAGGGCGCCTCATAACTACTCCAGCATCTGGGCATTTATCTTTTAAGGAATTGTGTCATGGAACATGCTTTGTTTGAAGTAACCGACTCATCTGATCAACAAGAGGATGGACTGACCCTCACCCTTAATAGGGTCAAAGAGGCCCAAGCAACTGATCATGTTATTTTGACATCTGCTAATGAAAGGATTTATGAGCTTGAGAAGGAGTTGAAAGCCTCAAGAAAGAGCGTGACTTAGTGCTCAAGGCCAAGGAATCGATGCAAATGACTACAATCCTTAGCTTTTCTAGAATGAGAAAGAAGTTCATACTCAGATTGACAAACTATTGACCGAACTCAAAGATGAACATTTGAATAGCTTGTTGTTTGGCGATCTGGGTTTTGATAAAGCAAAGACCCAGGTTTTGTGCTTGCACCCCGACTTGGATTTTTTCAAAGAGGTCGCCTGGTCGATGAAGTTGATCTTGAGACATCAAATGAGTCGGTATCTTCTGTTGCGGGTGATGATGCGGGGCTTGATCAGTAATTACAAATGTGGATATGGGCGAGAAGGTGGTATCTGCCGATCATGTTGCTTGAAACTTTTAGTACTATTTTTTAATATATAATTTGTACCATTTTAAAATTCAAATCATAAACATGCAAAAATAATATATATTATATCACTTAATAATTTTTTTCTACACCATAATATATTATTAATAATTATATTAAATGTTTAGAAAATAAATTATGATAACTTTTTTTCAATACACCTAAATTAAAATATCGATAAATTTTTTTGAAAAAAGAAATAGGTAAAAGATTCGGTTATGCGAGGGGAAAAATAAATTTTTAATTAATGTGTTCGTCAAGGATTCGAACCCTCGTGCCTATGTATTCATAGTAAAATGAAAAAATTAGAGCTCCATAGTTCATGTGTAGAAAATAAATATTTGTTGGTGTTTTTAGGGAACAAGTATAATCGTATCCTTGAAGTGTGTAAATATTAGCTGATTGTGATCCTACTTCGGATATTCTAAACTTTTAGTCTGACACATTTGATTATAAGTGTTCTTTTATGAAAAAAAAACTTGTTTTGAAAAAAATTTGTGTGATAAATAAAAACTAAAATAGGTGTTTTGAAGTTTTAGTTTTAGTAATTAGAAAAAAAAAAAATATACGATGGACAAATTCGTAATATTTTATAAATTTTTAAAAGGTTTTAAAAACTAAAATGATCAAACATACATGTTTTATTATTATGTTTTAACCAACTTTTTCTAATTAATTTACAAAATAATTTATAAAAACTTAAAACTAAAACAAATTCAAATAACAATTTTAATCAGTAGATAATCTGCTTAAATTTAAAACACTACTCCTAAATTCTAATGATAAAAAAACAAAAAAGTTTTTGAAATTGTGAACATTTATGGAAAGTATTTATTTAAATTCTAATTAAAGATGTTTATGGGTACGAGCTAACTCACCAATTTATTCATTTAATTTAATCTAAATCTTTATTTTTATCCAATCTAATTATATATGAGGTTCAATCTGATCCAATCCATTCAAATCAGTTTGTATTAATAAATTTTAAATTTTAAATTCACGAATCCGCGAGTTTAACCTATAAATATATGATATTGTTTATTTCATTTTTTCGTGTTTATAAATTATCAAGTATAATTTTTACAATTTATATATATTTTTTAATATAATTGTAATTTTTATTAATTGTAAAATTATAAATATAAATTAAATTTGAAAAATTAATTTTATTTATTCAAAAAGAGATATATCTTACCCTCTAAATTATACTTTGCATTATTTATATATATTTTTAACTTTATATAAATTATAAAAGAGTTTTTAAGTATTAATCAATAAATTTTATTCAAATTAAATACTTAATATTAATAATTTTTAATGTTTTTATATTATAAATATATTAATTAAATTGAATATTTTATTTAAAATTTGAAAATTATAATCTACGTACTCAATTAAACCCAATTTGTTGATGAAAAAGTTAATTTAGTTTGAGTTAAATCTTAAAAATTCAGATTGAACATTCAATTAATTCAAAAAATATTGATGGTTTTAAATATTTGATTTAATCAAATTAGAACTGAAATCGTAACACTTCTCAGTTAATAATAAACAGAACGGCAGCCCCAAACCCTACGGCAGAACATGGGAAGAAGAAACGGCGGCGGCGGCGGCGGAAGGTCTCTGCAATTCGTTCTTCGCCGTCGAGTTGAATCCTGCAAATCAAAATACAAAACCGCTGAAGAAATCGTGGATCATTTTCGTTCAAATTACCCTGACTACCGCAGAACTAAGTATCAAACCCTAATTGGATTGGTTGAGGATGCTATTCGATTTTCCAACAATACTCCCACACGGAACCATAACCAAAACAACAATGCCGAGGAAGATGACGAGGAGGATGAGAATCGAAGTGCTTCTCGAAAGAGACGTAAGGAAATTAACGACGAATCTGAAGATAGATTGCAAAAGATGGAAGCACGTCACGTTAAAGCTAGGATGAGTACGCAGGCTCCATCAACTTCCTCCGATTCTGCTTCGGCTAGCAGTGAAGATGAAGGTGCAGTTTCGACCTCGGAGGACGGGATCTACAGCGAGAAAGTTGAACCTGCTTTTGATTTGATGAAGGATATGCTGCGACATTCATATTCAGGAACAACAAAGTCAGTAGTTCCTGTGGTGGAAGAAAAAGAAAAGAACGTTGAATTGGATATCGGTAATACAAGTAAAGCTACTATTATTGTCAATGCGGATGGTGGTAAATCCAAAAGGACGGCAACAACAGAGAAACACTCTAAGGATTCAGTTTCTAATACTGGCGGTGGTAAAGGGAGCGGTGATGTTGAGGTGAAAGGGAAAGAGGGGCCGACGTTTAAGGATTTGGGTGGGATGAAGCCTATTTTAGAGGAGTTGATGATGGATCTTGTGTCATTGTGCAATCCTCAGTTGCCTAGACATTTAGGGGTGAAACCAGTTACTGGAATTTTATTGCATGGACCACCTGGTTGTGGAAAGACTAGACTTGCTCATGCTATAGCTAATGAAACAGGTCTTCCTTTTCACCATATTTCGGCTACGGAGGTGGTTTCTGGAGTCTCAGGTATTGCTGCTACTTTAACTTGTGGATAATTCAATTAGGATTAGTTTGGATTAGGTTTTAGTTTATGTCAATTTTGTAACTTATAAGCTTGATTTAGATTAGGTTTTTGTTTGTGAGAGGTTCAATTGTAATAGATCTATGATTCTTTGCTTATGAAATTGAAAGTCCTCATACGTCAGTGTTTATAGATAAGTTCAATGAGAGTTTTTGAATCAATTAAGTTATACTTTATGTGAGATTATTGTTTAAGAAGTTCAATAGTTATTGCGAGATTCTTTTAATGTTTCTTTTTCTACAAGTAACTGTGAATAAATTTATCCCAATTGGTGCTTAGTCTTAGATCATTCTTAACCTAAAGTAAACTGAAGTCTGTCCATTATAGAATGGACTTTCAATGTATCAATTATTACTTGTGGATACTTCAATTCCATTTTTGTTGCTGTTAGGATCAGTTTGGATGAGCTTTTAGTTTCTGCTATTTTTCTTACTCTTAGGCTTAGTTTGGATTAGCTTTTAGTTTGTTAGAGTTTTCAATTTAATTAGCTTTATGATTCTTTGGCTATGGAAGTCCTTACAAGTCGGTGTTTCAATAGGTTAAATGAGAGTTTTTGAATCAATTGAGTTATATTATATGTGAGGTTATTGTTTAAGAAACTCTTAGTTTTGGAGAGATCCTTTAATGTTTGTTTTTCTACAAGTCCTTTCATTGTAGAAAGGAGTTTCGAATTATTTAGCTGGCGACTGCAGAATTCTTTTGCATTTTTTATTGCAAACTAGTGACTTTCATTGCTTCACTTATACTATTGGATGATTTAAAACTGTTTTCTTGAATAGTTGTTCCTTTCTTAATTAGGTGCATCTGAAGAATATATTAGAGAGCTTTTCGATAAAGCAAAAAGAACTGCTCCATCAATTGTCTTTGTTGATGAGATTGATGCAATTGCTTCGAAAAGAGAGAATTTACAGCGTGAGATGGAGAAACGAATTGTGACCCAGTTAATGACTTCCATGGATGAACCAGAGAGTTCTGATGAACCTCGTGGCTATGTTCTTGTAATCGGGGCCACAAATAGGCCTGATTCTCTTGACCCTGCTCTTCGACGACCTGGTCGGTTTGATCGTGAGTTTCTTGTTGGCGTTCCCGATGAATCTGCCAGGGTGGAGATCCTTTCCGTGCTTACTCGCAATCTTAAACTTGATGGTTCGTTTGATCTGCACAAAATAGCCAGGTCTACGCCAGGGTTTGTTGGTGCTGATTTGACTGCTCTGGCTAACAAAGCTGGTAATTTGGCAATGAAGAGGATAGGTAATGAAAGGAAGCGTGAATTATCTCAAGTTATCATGGATGGGGATACTCAAGCCTGGTTGAAAGAACCTTGGTTGCCTGAAGAAATAAATAAGCTTGCTATCAAAATGTCTGATTTTGAGGTGCTTTTATTCACTCATTCTTACTATTATTATTATTATTCCCCTGTAGCCTTTTTCTAAATCAGTATTATTCTTATCCTTTACTTTTTATTCTCTCCAATTGACATCTCTCTCTATACAAAGATAAAAGTTCGGTTATAGTCTTGTAAATTTTGTCTTTGATTTTCCTTTGAACATTTATATGCCTGAAAGAGATAATCACGTATATCTGTGAATTTGTACAGGAAGCAGCCAAAATGGTGCAGCCTTCAGCAAGAAGAGAAGGGTTCTCTTCCATTCCTAATGTTAAATGGGAAGATGTTGGCGGGCTTGATATATTAAGGCGTGAGTTTGATCGCTATATTGTAAGGCGTATTAAATATCCTGAGCTATATGAGGTAACTCTTAAATCTACTCGTTTTAATGTTATTTCTATTAAGTAAAGTCAACTTGTGGATCAAACAGTTTAGAGAAAATAAAATATAATCAAGTCAAATTGACTTTTTTATGTCTTTGTGATTATCTCCATTATATAGTCAAATTGTTCAGTTGATTTTTTCTGCGTGTTCTAAAAATAGAAACGTGTCTTAAATAAAAAGGTGTTGGATGAATTGAGGGGTGTGCATTGCATGTTTTGGATTTATGTAATTCCAAACCATAGGAATGATCCCAGATCAACAGGGGAAAGTTAAACGTGGGAAAGAAATTCTGTTGGACCCAAGCTTGTTAGAAGAGATACAATTTGTTATTGTGAGGCAGTAGTGCACATAGGTTTTCGAGGAAATGGGTGAGCTGAATTAGGGAGCCTGTTTTATGTTGTTGAGGATTATAGCCGAGGCTTGGGTTTGAAACATTTTTTTCTTTCATCTAGGGGTAGTAGTCCTTCGGATGCCAGACCTTCCGGTCATCTCTGTCTTGATGTAAATTGCAATCACCCAATTTCAGCAATAATACTCCTAGACTGAGTTTTGCTTTAAGTTTGTTTTTTATCACTATTTAATTCATTTTTGACTATGTTGTTAATAGAGTGCTATAGTGGAATAACGTAGTGGTGGTAGGGTTCGATGCGGCGCTTTTGGCCCGCGAGCCGCAGTCAACAATAGTGGGGTGCATACTGAATTTTAGTCTTCGCGGTGCATACTGATTTTTAGTTTTTCTAATACTGTCTATCTTGCTACCATTAAAGCATCTTTGGGGGTAGGTTGCTATCCATTAAAGCATTTTAGGGGGTAGGTGCTATGCACTGCTCTCCAGGATTCACAGCATAAATTTTTGAATGTAATTATTCTCATGTGATTTAGGGAAGGGATTGACGAACACAGGATCCAATATATTTTATTTATTTGTTTTGTTGTTGTATGTAATATCTTGGTTTTGTAATACTGAATGATGGAGCATTGATAGAGGATATAAACCATTGGATTCAAGTTGGGTGGTTGAAATGGAGGAGGAGAGCCTCAGGAGTTTTATGTGACACAAAAGTACCGCCCAAGTTGAAAAGTACCGCTGATGGAAAATTTATATGGGACAATGGTATGACCTATGATGTTGTATGTGACAAAATGTAGGACAGTTAAGAATTAACTGGTGAATAAAGTAAGCGTAACAAAGATGAGGATGTTTGCGTTGGATGTGTGGCAAGTCTTGACGGGATAAGATTAGAAATGACTATTAGAGAGTGTTAGGGTAGCACATATAATAGAAAAGACGGTGTAAAATAGGCTTAGACGGTTAGAGTGAAGACCTGTAGATTCTGTTGTGAGTAGATCAGATGGAGAAGAGTAAAAAAACTAGAGGTATAGTAAGACATAGAAAAACTATAAAAGAAACTATTAAGAAAGATATCGAGATTAATGATTTGGATAGAACCATGGTTTTGGATAGAACATTATGATGTAATTTGATCCGTGTAGACGACTCCACTTAGTGGGATAATGCTTGGCTGTTGTTGTACAACTATACAATCAAGACAATTGCAAATTGCAGCACAATCAAATTTTATATTTTTCTTAACTTAATATTTACCGTTCTTTTTTCTCTATTGAACTAGTCAGCCAAAATCATGTTAAAATTCAAATGAAGAAAATCTATCTCAACTTACATTAATTTCCTTTTATGTTTATTATTTTTCAAAAATCTCTATCAATAATTTGGTTATGTTCTCCAATTCTCATACTAAACATTATCTTAAAAATTAATCAATTGATTTTGTCTTAACTATTTAATGAAAAATTATGGTAAGTTGTATATCACACAACTTCACAAGACGATCACTGATCAGTGTTATTGGATTTAACCATTTCAGGGAATTGGGTTGAATCTCGAGTCTGGATTTTTACTATATGGACCTCCAGGATGTGGTAAAACACTTATTGCCAAGGCTGTTGCCAATGAGGCGGGAGCTAATTTCATTTATATTAAGGTGGTCTAAATATTCCATCCTTTTATCATTAACTTTGGTTTATTGAATAATTTTTTTTTTGATATTTGAACTGTTTTCATTGAATTCTTAGGGACCCGAGCCTCTAAATAAGTATGTCGGGGAAAGCGAGCTTGCGGTGCGGACATTGTTTAGTCGTGCAAGGACTTGTGCACCGTGTGTACTATTTTTTGATGAGGTCTGTAGTTTTCTTTTCCTAAGAATGTTGTCTATGAATGCCTGTGTGGTTTTATCTATGATTTATTTCATTTGTCTATGAAGGGTTTTTCTGAATGCCCGTTAAACCTTGTTGTAAAATAGTTTGCAACGTAAACATAAGTTTCAATGCGTGTGAGATTCAACTTTCGCCATTTTCAGATTGATGCTCTGACTACCGAACGCGGTAAAGAAGGTGGATGGGTTGTTGAAAGACTATTGAACCAGGTCAAATAGTTTCTAGTTTTTGGAACGAAAAAAATACTATCATACCGACTTCTTATTCTTTATAACAAAATGAATAAAATGAGACAATTATATAAAATTGCAGTTGCTTATTGAGTTAGACGGCGCTGAGAATCGGAGAGGTGTATTTGTCATTGGTGCAACAAATAGGTACATTTAGTTTTTCTTCCCGTATCTCTAATCAGTCATTTGACTTCCACATCATGCTGTATTCACTTAGTTTCATTCTACAGGCCCGAGGTGATGGACCGTGCTCTCTTGCGGCCTGGTAGGTTCGGTAAACTGCTTTATGTTCCTCTTCCAAGCCCAGATGACCGTGTTTTGATATTAAAAGCTCTTGCAAGGAATAAACCTATTGATTCTAGTGTGGATTTGAGTGCCATTGGAAGAATGGAATCATGCGAAAACCTTAGTGGTGCTGATCTTGGAAAATTGGTATGTATCTACTCTTTCCCGTGTACTTTTGGTATTGTCTTGGCTCTAAGAAAGAGTACATTTTGGGCTCTAAGAAAGAGTACATTTTGGGATTTGCTGATTTTCCTGTGTATTCAGATGGATGAAGCAGGAATGGCTGCTCTTGACGAGAAGTTTAGCTCAACTGAGACAACCTCATTGACCATTAAGACAAGTCATTTTGAGCTAGCACTAAGTAAAGTTTCTCCGTCTGTGTCAGACAAGGTATGGTCCATTCCGCCAAATTTCTTTTACACATGATCTGATATCTTATGTTGGATAGATTAGTCTTACAAATATAACATTGTTTTTTCCCCTTCTTTTTCTGGAGCAGCAAAAGCAGTACTATGATCGTTTGTCAAAGAGCCTACGAGCAGCATGAATATGCGTAGCACGGCTGTCTTCTTTTGTTTTATTACAGTAGGTGATTATTATCCTGAGGTAAAAAGTGAGGAAGGATACCATTTTTGTTGGAGTGGGTGAAGTTAGGTTTGTATTTGCTTATTTATGAAAAGTACATTTTTCAGTTTTTGGTAAATTGTAGTCATTTATGGGTCACTTATTCGTTCATTGTATGGAATTTGTTGCAAACAATGTGTACTAGAATATAAATAAGAGAAATTACAAAAGTTTCCTTGAGTTTGAATTCGCATTAGTTTACATTTACTGTGGTTTTACCATTCAGAAATCACAAATATAACAGTGTTTTCTGATGCTTTTCTTGTTTTTTCATACATCGTTATACGGGAGTACCCATTTATGGGTCACTTATTCGTTCATTGTATGGAATTTGTTGCAAACAATGTGTACTAGAATATAAATAAGAGAAATTACAAAAGTTTCCTTGAGTTTGAATTCGCATTAGTTTACATTTACTCTGGTTTTACCATTCAGAAATCACAAATATAACAATGTTGTGTTCTGATGCTTTTCTTGTTTTTTTATACATCGTTATACGGGAGTACCCATTTATGGGTCACTTATTCGTTCATTATATGGAATTTGTTGCAAACAATGTGTATTAGAATATAAATAAGAGAAATTACAAAAGTTTCCTTGAGTTTGAATTCGCATTAGTTTACATTTACTGTGGTTTTACCATTCAGAAATCACAAATATAACAGTGTTGTGTTCTGATGCTTTTCTTGTTTTTTCATACATCGTTATACGGGAGTACCCATTTATGGGTCACTTATTCGTTCATTGTATGAAATTTGTTGCAAACAATGTGTACTAGAATATAAATAAGAGAAATTACAAAAATTTCCTTGAGTTTGAATTCGCATTAGTTTACATTTACTGTGGTTTTACCATTCAGAAATCACAAATATAACAGTGTTGTGTTCTGATGCTTTTCTTGTTTTTTCATACATCGTTATACGGGAGTACCCATTTATGGGTCACTTTTCGTTCATTGTATGAAATTTGTTACAAACAATGTGTACTAGAATATAAATAAGAGAAATTACAAAAATTTCCTTGAATTTGAATTCGCATTAGTTTACATTTACTGTGGTTTTACCATTCAGAAATCACAAATATAACAGTGTTGTGTTCAGATGCTTTTCTTGTTTTTTCATACATCGTTATACGGGAGTACCTATTTATGGGTCACTTATTCGTTCATTGTATGGAATTTGTTGCAAACAATGTGTACTAGAATATAAATAAGAGAAATTACAAAAGTTTCCTTGAGTTTGAATTCACATTAGTTTACATTTACTGTGGTTTTACTATTCAGAAATCACAAATATAACAGTGTTGTGTTCTGATGCTTTTCTTGTTTTTTCATACATCGTTATACGGGACTACCCATTTAAGTTGCAAATTTCAAAATTAATTTATTTTTTAGTGAAAGTTCTAACTTGTTCATATGGATGGTTATTTCACACAAACTTTGTGATGATGCCAACTAAAATCACACAAACTTCATGCATGCATGCGTGGTTGCATTTCCCAAAATAATGCATTTATTTTGGGGGGAAAAGGGGTACTTGAAAAAAAGCAAGTGTTTTGATTGCAAAAGCAAGTCATTTTATTCGGTTTGCTATTTTTGACACTGCATGAGAAAGGGATAGAACGGTTGCATTTGAAAACTTCCTTCTACTTAAAATAAGCTGGTTCTTTTTAATTTGAAGTAATATACCAAATCCAAACTTCAAAAGGTTAAATTCAAGCTTACGATCATGAAAGCTCTTTTATCCAATTACTTCTCTTTCTTAAACCTCTCTGCCATATCCAAAGGTTCAATCTCAGTGACACAATCCATTGCAGTGATACTAGTAATTCTCACATTACTTTACATTTGTTTCAAATCCACAAGTGTCTACCTTATTGACTATGTTTGTTATTTACCTCCTGATAATTTGAGACTTCCTCATTCCCATTTCATAGAACACTTTAATCTGTGTAACTTTGAAAAAGAAACCATAGAATTTCATACCAAAGTATTGGAGAAATCCGGTATTGGAGTCGAGGCTTGCATGCCAGAATCGGTTCATGAGCTCCCGCCTGATAATTCTGTAAAGCATGCACAAGCAGAAACCGAAATGGTTCTTTTCACAATCGTCGATGATCTTCTTTCGAAACACAATGTGCATCCTAAGAGCATCGACATCCTTGTGTCAAATTGTAGCCTTTTCTGTCCCACACCATGCATTACCTCGACCATCATTAACAAGTTTGGATTTCGAAGTAATGTAAAATGTTTCAGCTTAAGTGGAATGGGTTGCAGTGCTGGGTTGTTGTCAGTAAGCTTGGTGAAAGATCTTCTAAAAGTTCACAAAAACTCTCTGGCTTTAATTCTAAGCATGGAAGCTGTAGCTCCAAATGGATATAATGGCAATACGAAATCCAAGCTTATCGCGAACGCGCTGTTCCGAATGGGAGGAGCAGCCATTTTACTATCCAACAAAAATCAAGACAAGGGAATAGCCAAGTACAAACTTCAACATCTTGTGAGAACACATTTGGGGTCAAAAGACAAAGCATATCAGTCTGTTTATCAGGAACCTGACAAAAACAATATTGTAGGCGTTTCCCTTTCGCGATCGCTGTTAAGTGTAGCTTCTTCAGCTCTGAGGATCAATATAATAAACTTAGGTCCTCTTGTCTTGCCATATTCCGAGCAACTTCGATATGGGTTATCGATGATTCACAGAAAAATATGGACAGCAGATGATAAAGAAACGTACGTACCGAATTTCAAGAAGGCGTTTGAGCATTTCTGTATACATGCAGGAGGTAAGACAGTAATAGACGGCATAGTGGAAAATCTGAAGCTGCATAGGGAAGATGGAGAAGCTTCAAGGATGGCATTATATAGATTTGGAAATACTTCATCTTCTTCTTTGTGGTATGAACTAAGCTATTTGGAAGCAAAAGGAAGAGTAAAGAAAGGACATAAAGTTTGGCAAATTGGGTTTGGAAGTGGATTCAAGTGTAACAGTGCAGTGTGGAAGTGCCTTTCTGATATTGATCCAAATGTGAAGAGTGCATGGTCTGATAGAATCCATTTGTATCCAATTGAGATACCTGTGTTTGACTGTTGAAGTTATTGTAGGTTCAAGAAGTATTAGCAGGGCCAACAGAGATGAAAATTAGGCACTTTATGATTTATGATTTTTCTTGTTTATACCTTATTGTCTTTCCAGCCTAATCAGTATTTGCTATAAGTTACTTTTTCTGTCAATAATAATAAACAGCAGGCATTCAAAAACATTATACATTAGGTATGTTCATTCAAAATCTTAAGGTATTGCACATGTTGATCATCTCTTATATAATTCATTTAGTCCACTTCTTGTCGACGTAGAACTAACCACATACATTTGAATTATAACATAAGCATTTGAAGTGAGGTTTCACTTTGTTAACTAAGACAGATTATTGACCAGAACTCAGAAAAGTAAATGATTTATTTGACATGATACATTTACACCTGTTTATGTACAATCGACGTTTTGCAACATTAGAATTTAAAAAGACTAAGGGAAAAAATGAGTGTGGCAATGTATGGTGCATGGTCCTATAGATCTTGGGAACCAAATAGGATCAAATTATCAGTACAAACAAAGATTAGAATTATATAATCAGTGACAAAATTTCACATACTTTATCTACTGAGATTGGGTTTTAACTTATCTCGTTGCTTGGACAATACTTCCGCAATGAGCTGTCGACCAAATAAGCGCGAGTTCTTGAGGATTAGGTTCCTTGTTGATGGGTCAACCATGTAACCTTGACCCGGCATCCATTGTAGTAGGTGCAGAAGCAAGTCTTTCTTCTCGGGCTGACTTAAATAGCGTGATACAGCCATCTTAAATAAATCCTGCAACCAGGGAGGATATAATTAATTTTAGAGGAAACAGTTGAAACAATTAAGTTTAATATTTGGTTTTTGTAACACGATATTTAGTTGTAGATGTTAGTGTGGATGTGGTTATTTAAAAAACAAAATAAAGAAAATTAAACAATGAACTATTTGTCTTACTAATAAAAGTATTCAAATAACATTAAAGTAAAATAAAAAATAACAGTATTCAAATTGCAATGCGAGCAAGATTATTACCGGATCAATCTTGTAGCCACAACTATGGAGTGTCTTCATAACATCATTGATCAAATTGATGTTACCTGACTTCATAAATGCACTTGCAAATTTTTTGGTGGTGGGGCGAGAAATTAATGTTGCATTATCCTGAATACGATAAGGTCCATCAAATGAACCTCTCGATGGTACGAGGAAAAAAAGGAGTTATATATTCCTAAAACCAACAAGAATACCTTGAATACTACATATGCATCTTTAAAAAGCTTTCCTGCTAGAAGAACGTGCAGAATTTTCTCATGAAGTGCCTTGCATATTGTTCTTTTGCTATATTTCAGAATATTGTAAATTGAAAACGCCTCTGAATAAGCTTTTGCTCGACCAAGGTGGAATATTAAAGAAGAACAGAGCTCCTATAAAGAGAAGAACTTTTATTTGGTGAGTAAACATATAATAGATAGAACACAATCAAATTTATTAAATGAAGCTTTCTTGGATTCTTTTAATCTAGTGGAACTTCACATTTAAAATCTTCTTTTTTTCTCCCTATCATTCAACATCAGTACGTAAATAAAACAGCGTACCTCTATTGGTTGATAGCCTTTAATATGCATGTCCTCCACTGTTCGATAAGCTAATAGATACATGTTTTTACTACAAAAGTATTTGATTAGAATATTGAAGGTATTGTAATCAGGACTGATTGCCAATTCATCCATCTTTCTTAGAGTTTCCATCACACTTTCCATTTCACCTGCTCTGCAGAAAGCACAGAGCATTGAATTCATTATAACTACGTCATATTTGTTTAAGGTAGTTTGAAATTCCTTGGCTAACTGCTTTGCCTCTTGAAAAAGCTTGGCTCTGCAAAATGCTGATATCATGATACTGTGAGCATAGCCATCTGCAAGTGGGAATTGCATTTGTAAATTACTACTGCGTTAAGGAACCCAATCTTGGAGAGTAACTAGAACTAAAGATTGTATAATAAAGACCCAGCAGCAGTATTATATTCTTAATGGAGAAAATAGATGGACTAGTCAATAAATCCCTTAAAAATAACTAAACATTTATGTAGATTTCTTCACACCCAGTGCTTAATTCCATTAAAGGAAACTTCAAACATTAACTTACCAGACCTGACTTGTTTTTTCATCATTTCATCAAAAATTACTTTGGCTTCATGTATTTGTCCTGCCTTAGCTAGGCCATCCATCAAAACACAGTACGACATCTGCATACAAATCCAAACTATTCAGATAAGACACTCAAAAAGAGAAGACATAGAAAGCGTTTAAAGAAGGATATAGAATTTACGATATGAAATAAACTTTAGGCATTATTAACATGGCGTGGATAATGCTATGAAATGATTTACAAATATTTCAGATGCAGAAAAACCAAAAAAAAAAACTTCTTTGTTCAATTGAGAGATTACTATTACCTCATCTTCAGCATAGCCCGAAGATTCTAGTTCGACTAGTAATTCTCTTGACTTCTCAAACAAACCTCCTCTAACATATACCTTCAGCAAGGTTGTCAAAATGATCTGCAACCAATATAACGCCACATGTATGATAAACTACTAGTCACAAATTTTGTTCTGAGATTTTGTAAGAAGACAAGAAAAACAAACCTTGTTTGGTACTAACCCTTCTGATTTCATATCTTGAATCAACACATCAGCTTTTTGGAAGTTTCCACTTGCCGAATAAGCATTGAGCAAAGAGCTATAGTGGTAAACATTTGGAGAACGACCTTCACTCTTCATCTGGTTAAAATAACATTCTGCTTCTTCCAATTTACCATTGGAAGCACACACTGCCAGAACTGCCCCATAAATTACATCATCCATTCGCAGATTATTGTCCTGCAATTCCTGAATTAACTCTAGTGTCTTAGGATATCCATCTTTTACTCTAACACAGCCTGCAATAAGCTGGCAATGTGAACAAAAGTTAGATCGCAAGAAAGAAGTGAAACAAAAACACGGCAAAACAATGGATGAAAGAGTTACATACAGTGCTATAGGTAACAAGATCCGGAACTAGACCATCTTCTTTCATCTGGCGAAAGAGTTTAATGGTGGCATCAAACTTGCCATTCCGGAGTAAACAACGGAGAACAGAATTACATATATAGACATTTTCTTTGGCCGATGCATCTTGAATGTTGTCATACATTTTTAGTATGGCAGAAGCATCAAGTTTATTGGCCATGAACTTTATATAATGAGAATATGAATATACATCAATCTTCTTGTTCTCTTGCATCCATATAAAAAGCTGCAGCAAATACAGTAGTTGTGGTAAATGAGTTTGGTATGAATGCATGAATGATTAAAGGCATGTTTGAATCAACTTATTTGACCTTACCTACTAATTATTGATATAAGCACTTACAAGACTTTTAAGAAGAGCTTATGAAACAACTTCTAAAAGATCTAATAGAAATAGCTTACAAAAAGAGCTAACAAAAATAGCTTATAAGGTTTATATGAAAACAATTTGACTTTGTTTTAGGCCTCTTTGAATGAACTTATTTGAACTTATCTAAAGACAGAAACACCTATGAAATTTGTTTGAGAACTTATAAAATCGACTTATGGCTTGTTTGTAGGCCATTTTTTGTGTATGTTTGATTTAGCTTTTGGAAGAGCCAAAAGCAATTCTAAAGGTGCAGAATTGATTTTGAGGTGTTTGGTTCTTTCAAAGTATAATAATTGATTCTGCCTCCTGATTCTCCTTGAAGCTAGAATTTGTAGCTTTTGAGTTTCAACGTGATTTTTACAATATAATTTAGTGTTCAACTCACTTCTACATAAATTTATCCAAATATAAATCACTTTACCTTCAACTCACTCTTAACTATAATCAATTTTACCTAATCAATTCATTCTTTTTACCGCATAATAAAACACGCTTCAATTTATTTTCACAAAGTCTCCAAGATAATAGAAATAATTTTATCTTTTGTTGAATGAATAACTCATACATAAACGCTTATCATGATAAACTCTTATACTATAAGCTACAAATTAAATTGATGATCGAAACGAGCTTATACATAAACATGGACAAGTGCTTATATTATAAGCACTTAATTTAGCTTAAATGTTTATCTAAACAGGGACTTATTAAGCAATTACCTGAGAGATATTGTTAAATTTGTTTGAATTACCGAAATGGCTCAAAGTGGCATTGAGTTCTTTCACTGTCAACATTTCTCCAACCCTAAATATAAATTGTGAAGTGAAGAATAGTAATTATAAATGCAGGAAAGGAAGAAGATGGAGAAGAATAAGAGTACCTAGTAAGTGTAGAAGGCAAATCGGAAGCATGTTGAAGTTGGAGTTTGGGTGATTTTCTTGCAGAAAAGGGTTTGGATTTTGCAAATTTGATGGATTTTGAAGGAAACTGTGTTTGAGAAGAGGGTTCAGTTGTTGACGCAGAAGAAGCAGAAATTGTTGAATGGCAAAAGGGGATACCAAATGCAACGGTTGTTATCTCCATTTTTCGTTACACTGCTGAAGCTTGTCTAAACCAGGGGCCTTATATATATATATATATATATATATATATATATATATATATATATATATATATATATATATATATATATATATATATATATATATATATATATATATATATATATATATATATATATATATATATATATATATATATATATATATATATATATATATATATATATATATATATATATATATATATATATATATATATATATATATATATATATATATATATATATATATATATATATATATATATATATATATATATATATATATATATATATATATATATATATATATATATATATATATATATATATATATATATATATATATATATATATATATATATATATATATATATATATATATATATATATATATATATATATATATATATATATATATATATATATATATATATATATATATATATATATATATATATATATATATATATA